TGGTAATCCGGTGTACATGCACTGGTTGGTAGGCGTGGCCTGGTAAGATGGGCGGAGTTAGCGGAGTAGATTTGTGCTATTTGGTTAGTCGCGACCGCTGTTTTTAGAAGGGTTTATGTGCAAGCTACCTTTAGCAACCCTGAAATTGGTGACGCGGGACTAGCATGGCTCCAAAAACTTCATAGAACTACGAAGTATCAAAAAAATTCGTGATAAAAAATCGTTTCAGTAGTAAAAGCAGAGCATTTTGGCGTCGATCCAGTTAAGAAATTCCCATGTGTTCGCCGACCTGATGGCAGTCTCCATTGTCTGGGGAAGACGAAAGGCAGGAAACATCCGTATGTACGTGCAGAAGTCCTTCAACGACTTCGTCGTTTCTATGCCCCTGAGAATCAGAAATTCTTTCGAATGATTAATCGATCGCTTGCTTGGTAGCTTCAGTTGTCGTTATCGATTGTCTTTCTGTGCTCATCGATTCTAGTCGTCTGATTGCCTTTGCTATCGTGTTCAATACGTGTACTGTACTGCCCGGTAGGACTTGGATACTGTATATTTCCATTTCTCAGCTCTTTCTCGTTGCTTATAATCCTTCATAGTGAAAATTCGTATTGATGCATAACGCTTTTAATTTTTTTGTACATTAGTTACCTATATTGATCAGCATATTGATTGAAAGTTGATTGACCGATTATCTCAGAATGGAATCGAGTTCAACTATATGATTATTCGGGTGATAAGCTGTGATATTTGATCTTTTCAAATAAATTTTATATTACTTCTTTACGGATCCATTTCTTTTTGAAATTCTATCCTCAATAATTTTAAACTTTTTTCTCAAAAAGTTGTTAACTTCCGAAACAGGGGAAATCTGCAGAACGAAGGTTTACCTTTAGGACCCTTTATAGGTAATTTATTCGTGAAGTGAAATGGTTAGCGCAGCTTCTCTTTTGCGCTAATTCCTTATAGGATCGAAGTCCGGCGAAATAGACCACACCTACGATTCTTTTGGGGTAGGCGGACCCATACAAAGCCCAGGACGGTCAATGTGCGTGTTGGAGACGCATCCAATTACACTCCGATTCTGACTAGGTCTTTAAAGCATGGCGCATCCCAAAAGATGCGGCTGTGATCTGTTTTACTTCATGTTTCCTAAGCAAATGTTTTTTGAAGGCAGTGACTGCGATGACTTGAAGGTGGAGCTATTCAAGGACGTCATCGGTAGAGGAATGATTCGTGTGGTGTTTGTAAGTATTATGCGTAAGATTACTAACAATAAGTTATAGCAACTACAAGAAGAACAGTATTTGTGTTGATATGAATCAAAGGACGCAATCCCAATATGACGGGTCACCCTTACCTAACGCAACACAGTAAGCAGCGCATGCACTCACGAATCACGCACGTCTACGCTATCATACTTAATTGCACCCCATCACCCTTCGGACTCCCACATGGGAGGTGGATTTCTACAGTCCTTCCACTTCATGGGCAAATACAAACCACCCGTTTTATAACGCGTAGTTGCGCCCTTTTCACCTCTAACGCTATTTCTTCTGACAAATATGTTGGAATCACAAGCTTAATCGGCCCATACAGTTTCAAGGCCAACTTCAAGATAAAGTCAAACCATCTGAAGTTCCTTTTTTTTACCAGCTTTACTTTCCCGATGACCCTCTTTCCCACTTCTAAAAGAGGGCTGAGGTCGGTCTATTGTTGTCGGATGGTGCGGAATCTGAGCCCAAGAGTTGCGTTCCTGTTCCCCGATACTCTACAGTATCGTGTAGGCGGTGCTTTCTTGAGGCGTAACCATTAAGTTCGACTCAGATTATACTCACATTAGTACCAAAATATTGCTAGTGCTCTCATGGCGCTGACCCTTTAGCCAGCTGACCACCAATTTTCAACGCCTGTAGGATCGTGACAGCGCCCTGAAGAAACCGGCACGTTTACAGGAGGTTTCCTAGTGCCTAAACATCTCATCCTGAGTACAAAACCTATCAAGTCACAATGATTTTTGTAGAAGACGAGAGCACGGCCACAGCCAAACGTCCTAAACTACTCTCGTCCTGCTAAATACAGGGTGGGCAAAAATTACGGTAACAAGAGCGCTAACCAAACATCTCGATTTCCTTCGAACCTAATAAATGCACCTGGTTGAAGAGACCCCGGAGAGAAATCACTGGACACAACAGCAAGGTAGACCGCTTGTGCACAAAGCAAATATTGTGCAACATTGGTTTTGCAGAATTTTCCGAATTCATGCCATTGAACGAGGGGCCACCTTATTTTCCCGTGTTAAAGCAAGTGGGTTATTTTCCGTGGAGTCTACTGAAGACGATGGGCTACTACGAGTATCACTAAAGCATCGACGAATTAAAGAAGATCCTAGGGTAAGCTCGATGTCACCTACCTACACAACAGGCCATATGCGTTCCCGAGATGACTTCATTCAGGTATAAACGCAAACAGCGGCCAGTCCAAGAAGTGATGTTGTATTCTGTCTGGTGACCTCCTATGAATACATTGTTGGGGTCCACGTGTGTCTTGCTGGCCGAATTGCTCTTCCATGAACACTTTATCCTGTTACCGTAATTTTTGCCCACCCTGTAGATCCACGTAATAGCGTATAATGTCTTTCTAGACGCATAACAGCCTTTTGCACACGTAATAAATCTAAATCTTAATCTAAACAGCGTTATCAGAAATCATTTATCCACACTTATCCAGCAAAATTTTCAAAAACATCAAGATAAAAACGTACAAAATTGTCGGGTAAAATCTACCCCGATCAACCATACAGGGCCTATGTAGCCGTCAAGTACCTGGATGTCAACGAATCATACAAAGAGGGGGCCAATGAAAAGTCGATAATGTACAACATTGATTCGAGAAACCTCTTAGAGAAAAAATAAACCTCTTACCTTTGCAAATAAATAGTGGTCACAATACAGCATAGTGCGGTATTTTGGAACATAGCACTTCCAAATTTCTTAAAGGCGCTACTACTTTACCTTCTTGTTCATAGATGGGGCGGAGCAGCCTGGCGCGCGGTCGCGTTGCGGCTGACCTACTGGCGCACGCATCTTCTCTGGTAACTTCTAGTTGATCTGAAGATCCGCTGAATGGTCACCAAGGCAATTCCATAGTTTGCACAGCGGGAAAACCAAGACCGTGACGCGACAGCGCGCGTCTCAATGTGCTTCTCTCGCGACTGTGAGAAGAGGATCGCAAAGAAGAGACACAGGTCAAACATACTCCATCGATACATAAATCACGACATCTCGAGAGTCATTGTGAGCATTTCAAAGACCATGTAAGAATGCTATAATTTCGGCTATAAAATCAATAAGGTTCAATAAATGGCGGTCTCATGTGGAAACTGCAATGGTTGTAGTCGTTGCGTGCTATTCGCTTGAACTCCAGAGATACCAAATTCGGAAATGATGTCGTCGTCGAAGCGTTCGTATCGTGCAGGTGACACAGCATAGGCGCCATATTGCGACAACGATCGGGACGGTAGCTGCTGGGATTCGAGCAGTTGTTGGGAGTTCCTCGGCGACCGTGGAGTGATGTGCGGTGTCGACAAAGGGGTGATCACCGTCGGTGGTGGTTGTTCCACTGCTGAAAATTCACTTTTTGAAACAAAGCTGTGAAAATCGAGCGTGCACTACTGGTAGTTGTCTGCTACACAAAACATAAGTATTGATTGCAGCTGACCATAACCACTAACCATCATAGCCACCGCCGGACGCTGAATCAGGGCCATGATAGCGTGGACACCGGGCGCCATACTTTGAGTTTTGGTGCCTTACTGGTCCACGTGAGGGGGGGAGTCGTTGTAGCAAAGACGGATTGGGCGCAGTCAGAGTCACGGGAATCAAATCTCACCATTCAACAACTCCACCCCCCCCCGGTCCCTCACCAATCAGTCGGTTCAATCAATAATTCTATAAGTAAAACCTAATCGACGAATTTACATACAGACTAGCCTAGACGTCACGCATAAACACATACTTGCGTTCACATCTCTATGATCTATAGTGTAATGGACTGCCCGGCATCCTAAATCGATGCCTAACCCGATAGCATATAATGTATATAAATGTTGACTTCTCTCCATCAAAATAAGATGTACAATCAGTGTTTTAGGTTACCCGACACTTTCTGGCCTTTTGAAGGGGAAATGATTCATCCTAGGCAAGTCTGGTACCAATTAACCGACCCCGGAGGGATGGAAGGCTTGGTTGGCCCGGGCGACTCACGACCCAGGATTTGATCTCGCGCACGTGGTAAGCCACTTGCCACTACACCACTGCCGCCCTGGTCTCCATTGTTAATGAAATAACATGACGACTATCGTGGTGTTTCTAGCGTGCAGCTGGATTACTGAGCTGCTCCACAGCACGTAAAGCAGCCAACTCGGGCTGCCGGATCGCAGAATATAGCTATTACAGTCTAAATGTGGAAACTAACCCATTGTTCGTGTCCGCCGTACGCTGTTAACCCGCCTGACCGATTCACTTCGTCGAGGACCACCACTTTTTGGACGAAACGAACCACCTGCAACAAATATTCAAAAGGCGAAAGCAGAAAGATCACAATTTAGGTAGTCTTGAAAAGTACTGCTACTCACCATCTGACCAGAACTTCGAAAACTCCTTCACATTCCGATTTGTATTACGTTGTGAAAGTTGACGCCGTACGGTCGGAGCCGAGGGAGGGGCTGAAAGGAACAGTTGTACGTCAGGCATATTTTTCCTGTGCATATACCAATTGGTGTAGTACTGGGGTACAAATTCCAGTATTCTACGATTTTTGCAGGTTACCAACGTATCGATTTGGGTATGGCATCTGAGACAGCTATACAAAACAAATCTTACCGCTATTGCAACTTTGGACACGTCTCTTAGATCCGCTAAATTTTGCAGCTCGGTTAGTAGACTGAGATGCACCCATGTTCTGAAAAATTGATAATTTTGCAGGCAAAATGTAGGGTCCTAAGACGTAACACGGTAATACGACGACATTCTTCGTTTTGAATGATAATGGACTTAAATAAAGATGTATAATTTGAATTGCAGAGATGCCGGTAGATCCAATTGTCAAGTGAGATTGCACAGCTAAGCGTAAAAATCGTGGTAGCCTTAAAGCAACAGTTCAGGAACGGTTTCGCGGGAAAAAACCACCAATAATGAAGTTGTAGATGAAAACCAGACGATTAATGTATGAAAAACTGGAAAAAAACGTCGGGGAGGGTCTTAGACAGGTACTCTCCCTCTGCCGCTCAGCAATGGATAAAGACGCACGTTGGACGAG